CACGGGTTCATTGGTTTTTGTGGGCCGTTTGAGCAAGATGGCTCATCTTGCGGCAGTGCCGGACACCATCGACGGTGTGGGTACAACGACGCTGTTTATGGATCGTGTCTTTTGACAACATGGACTCTCGGAGTCAATTAGAGACCCGCGCTTCTACAATTTGCAGGGTGCTCGGCACCAAGTTGATTACGTCAGCAGCGGACCATCCACAAACCGATGATCAAACTGAGCGCGTGGATTGCGTCGTCGAGGTCGTTTTTCGCAGATTCTGCGCTGAGACTTCGAGGCACTGTAGCACCATGCTGCCACTCTTACAGTTCGCTCTGAGCAATACAGTGCATTCGTTTACTGGCTACATGCAGTTTTACGTGAACGGGCTCGTTTATCCTCTTGTCCCGCTGACACCGCCATCCCATGGCTCAGAGCTTGGCTGAGTTGAAATAGCCGAATGGCTAGTTGATGTCAACGTCCGTAAAATGGTCGAAGACTTCCTCTCTACCAGACTGAGCGTCCTACGACGCGTTCTCGATGCGATAGCTAATACATGCAGAAAGAATCTGCGAATGAAAGCAGCAATAGAAATGTGGAAAACTTTGAGGTCGGAGACCTGGTTTTATAAAATGCTAAAACCCTTCCTTCACATGCAGTCTTTGCTATCTTTAACACAATGCTCTGTCCACGGTATACTGAACCTTTTCAGATCGTGGCCAAGAAAGACTTGGCGTATACGTTAAACCTTCCGAGAAGGATACACACCCACCCAGGTTTTTTGTGGCCGTACCAGGATCCAGCGCAAGTGAGCGCGAAAGCGTTGACGCCGGGACGGCGTCAACGGTACTCGGCCACCCAGAAGCTAAACCAGCAGCTGTTTTTGAGCACGGAGTGCAACGATCTCCAGCTCCAGTGGCGCCAGGCGCACCACCGTCTCACGAACTGACGCCTTCGTCTGCTCGACAGCTAGAAGCCGCGCCAACAGAATGCGATAGCTCTCAACGTGAGACTTTCGGTGCACAAAGTTCTCCAAATTCTCGAGGTCTTCCGCACAGCGGTATGCGACCCCAGCATGGTGCCCAGCGAAGTCCCGATGGCGATGGGCCTTGTCCTCAAGAGCTCAAAGAGCATCATTAATCATCGGCTGGGAATCGACCAAGTCGTAATCGTCCACTGCCAACTCTTCTCGGCGAGAACGGTGGTGTCCACTATCACATAAAACGTCATGTGGATTGACGTCGTCAAACCCAGTATACTGTAAATTGGCGGGGATACCCCGACTTCGAGAACTCGTGGGAGTTTAAAGTGCCACTTCGGCAAGACTGCCCAGACGTCGTGGACACTCATGATCAGGGGGGATCATTTCTTTTCGCGTCGTCGCACGCCCCGCGCTTCTTGGAAATAGCTAGGGAAGCTGAAGTGCCCTGAGCCAAGCTTTAGCTATGGCCCCGAGCTGCTGTGGTTGCAGAACCATCCGTGTGAGAGACCACATGCTTGTGGGGGCGTAAGGAATAAACAAATATGGCAAAGGACGACAATACATTGGAAGTCGGCGACGCGCCATGAGTTACTCAAGCCGATAATGGCTCCCCACACGTGCATCCACATTCCTGTGACTCAACAATAAATTGTGCGACGAGGGAAGTTTCTGGTGTCGCGGCACCCATCGCTCAAAGTGCTCTTTGTCATCTGCAGCGCTTTTGCCAGGGGTGAGCACCACAGGAATCGTTCGCTTTGCAGTACAAAAGCGCCTCCTCTTTGAGCTCGAAGTTGAGTGCGGCACGTATCCACCAGGATTTCTGGAGGAACCAAGACGCGAACTTGGAGAGTTTTTCGTTTGTCAAGCTCAGCTTATGTAGTGGCTAGGGGCCCGACCACGTAGTCGCCCAACGATCGAGTGACCTGCTTCCTCGCTTCTGTAGCGGGATCCGCCGAGCGAAAGCTGTATTCCACACGAGGGTCAAGGACCGACAGAGGATGCGCGCGCATGAGACCCGCCATGTGGCTGCTGCTTTTGTGCCTTGTCGAGGTGATTGGTATGACACCACTTCCCCCGGAAGTCGAGAGTTTGAGAACGAACACGACGTCCGCAAGGATATAGCAGGGCTCACAACGCGTCGCTGGGGCATTTCGTCCTCTTCTTCGCATCCTAGGAATGAAGTGTTCGACTCGTTGTCGACTTCTCTCAAATCGTCACGCGATAATCTATCACCCGTGGCGGGCGCGATGCGTGGTACTCGGTCACCGAGAGATTGGGCTGCGCTTCCTTGAGGCCTCAGACGGGCTGCCCGGAGTAGCACCGCCTGCAGCAGACGAGAAAGGGTTCTTCCGGCGGACGTTCTCGGGGCCAGCGAGACTGGGTGTTCTCCGTGTCCTCGGCACAGGGTTCATTGAGCAGATTTTTGTGACGAAGCTCCTTGTGACATTGTGTGTCTTAAACACGCGAGCCTCGTTCGATGCGACATTTGAACGTGAACTGTAGGTGTTCACAATCTTGGTGGGGAAGAGTGTAACGGGATTTCACGTGCTCCGGTATGACAGGTGTGGACCACACAATGGTATGGCTACACTTAACAACACGTCAGTAAGTAGCTGGAACAGCTAGTAGATATACATTTAATGAGGTTTTTCTATATCGATAAGAAACCCTATAGATTTAGATAAGGCGTTTTTGCCGCAAATAAAATACAGTTTACATTTTAATTAGCCTTAGAATAAGGTTGTAGTTACTCTTGGAGTAAGCGCGATCTGCTACATCCGTACTGGTTCTAAGTACAGAGCGAAGGTCACCGAACTTAACCGGGCTTCCTCTAAGCGAAACAGTTACGACGGCCGGCTGCATTAAAGCTGTTTTACATTGAACGATGTAAGAGCGCAACTGCCATCATATTCAGCTGACTCGGTTTCGACGATACCCCAAATGTTATCTTGTTAGGAAGAAGAATTGATTTGGTCAATCTCTCTCGAAGATGTACAACGACACAGGCTCTATTCCGATCGCGACTGAATTAGAGCCACGTAGATGTACCTCGAACCTGGCGAGAGCATCATTGACTGCAAGAACCTCTTTGTAATTACCAGGGTCGTTCTTCTTTGTCATTACTGGCCGAAGAAACTGGTGGGTGATTACGCATAAATGCTTATCATGTTCTCCTTTAAATACCGCACAGTATACGAAGCGTCAAAGGCGTTTTAAAATCGCGATCTGTGTTTTCAATAAACCAGAATCGAGTATAAATATATCTATCTTCTACAGTTGTAAAATAGCTCTTATTGCCAACCCCATCACCATTCGATATCATTTTATATGGGCTAAAGTGAGGCTGTGTCATGCTAAAATAGCTGGAATGTACTCATGCAATGGTTTAGCAAAAGCAAAGTCGAGTTTTTCATACTGTTGCACAGCAGCATTGGTCTATCGGTAGTGGCCTTCATCTTGCCCAGAAACCATGCTTTCGGATGGTTAATTTCAGAAAGGAGGTCCCGTCAGCGCCAAATATATATACTATCGAACTGCTTATTTAAGCGCCTATATTCAAGTACGGTTTGCAAGTGTTTCATGTGATTCTCCCCATCGGATTGGCTCGTGCTTTCACGAGCATGGACGAATATACATCGAATTATTTTCGTTTATTGCCTAGAACAGCTGTGACAGCATTTGATTTGGCGTCGCTGGATCGTCAAGATATTACAATGGTATAGACAGCCAATTCTAAAGCATACCGCTAAAAAACCAACCCCAGAAAGGAGGATATCGATGTCTCTCATCATGGCAAATAATGAAACTCATCAACCAGATCAAGTGATGCGAGCAAAGTGCAGCTGACGATGCTGTTTCGCAACACACCTTTGTTTTGAAAATCAGCGTTTGTCTCGTAATTACTCTACCCATTCAAAGCACGCTAAATTCGGCAGTTGCTGTAAGCGTTTCTGAAACAGAAAGTCGGTACCACGAGGAAATTTTCCTGAGTCAATTAATTCCCTTTTTGCCTCGCATGGAAGAAAGTTTCAAATGCATACTGTTTTGTGGAAAGTGTAATTGCCGTGCGGTTTAATATTTGAATCTAGAGTACATTCCCCCTATCCTCACATGTCACTACTTCTTGACATTACTTCAGGAGGACCGACTAAAGATAACAGCGATACGTAATGACATCCTTCACAATCGGTGCTTTGTAGTCGTCTTCAGTGAGAGTTTTATTCGCGACGAATAATGAGCTAAGGTATTCCTACGGTATAAACGTATGAACTTGATGACTTGTCCATCTTGCGATTACTTTCACAAACCCCTAAGGGAAGTTCCTTCGGTCTATTAAGAGATTTATATCGAATGCGGTGAAGGGGTCTCCAGCCCCTAAGTTTAGTCCATTCATTCTGTACACGTAATCTGGTAACAGGGTGTGTGTGTCATACGAGATGGGCATGGGGTGACTGCACCCAAATAAGAACACGGTCCGTGGCTGGGTAGCCAGTAGTTATGCATGTATTTAGATTTTAATAATTTTTATATTGAGGTAATCTATACATCTAAAATTAGGCGGCTTTGCCGCAGATAAAAAAAGTCACTTTTTGAGTTAAACGGAAGAGTTAATTTGCCTAGGGTTAAGGCAATAATTACTCTTGGAGTAAGCGGATTGCGATCCGCTAAACTCGTACTTGTATTAAGTATAGAACGAAAGATCGGTTACTTAAATTACGCTTCCTCAAAAGCGCAAAGCTACGGCAGCGTCGCTGCACTTGGTAGGATTTGTAGTTAATCTACACCTGAGTCGTTTAGACTGATCCTTTGTGAGGATGGAACAATTTTCCTCTTTGCCCCAGGGCATACAGGACGGACTTAACAAGCGGATGTCTTTGCTTGGCCCTGAGGGCGTGCAACACCTCGCGGCGCAAGGTTTCGAGGCAATCGTTGCGCGTCTAGAGGCGTTTTCAAATTACAGGAACGCGCTGCTAGAGCACCTACAGCAGAAAATGTCTGCATCATTTGTGTTTTGACGTCACCGTCAGTGATGGATGATTCTGCCCGCCCTAAGCTGCTCATGGTGAGCGTTAAGGTCTTCGAGGGGATGGATGGGGAGAATCTCCTGCTCTGGATGAGAGAGGTCGAGATGGCCATCGCATTCGCCATGGTTCAAACCGAGAAACAGCGCGTGGTGCTAGCCATCTCAAATCTTGGTGGTCAAGCGCGAGAATGGGCACTGACGTGCGGCACTTCGGTCGAAGCTACGTTTCCCTCCTCGGCGGAGCTGAAATTGCAGCTCTCACGAGTGTTCTCGCCGTCTAATCAGGCATATCGCGTACGATCGCGCTTCCTTGCCGCCCGACAGGGCAAAAAGGAATTGGTGAACTTTGTCCAAGAGATGCGCACTCTCATTGCCAGGATGGCAGCAAATATCCTCCCGGAGGCGGTCACAGTGACCATCTTTATGGAAGGCCTTCGCACTCGCGTGGCTGGAACGGAAGTCTTCCGTGCGCATCCGTCTTTGTTTGAAGGGGTGGTGAATGTGGCATCGAATGCCAAATTCAATTTCAAGTCGGAACGACTTGGTTGGAATGCAAACTCCAACAGCTCGTTGAGCGGTCCTATGCCCATGGATCTCAGCTATGCGTGGACGAGGGAGGAGAGCTCCAAGCTGCCGGGCAGTACGCACTCACACGACGGTGTTTTGTCTGTGCAGACACTTGTCACCTGCGGAACGATTGCCCTTGCGCTGGGCGCGTCAAGGCTCTTCGAACCATCGCATCAATTCCTACCAGTCTGATTCGTCGCGGGGAAACGACACCATCCAGTAGGCGCGGGGCGACCTACTGGGGAAGAACTGATTTCTGTTGAGCCTCAAGGAGGCATAGGTCAACAGGGCCCAGCCCCGAAAAGCTCCGTGCTCTTGAACACGGAACCTGTATGCAAGCCGGGCTTGCTGGTCGTGGAGGCGACCGTAAAGAGCTCCGAGAAGCCATGGAAGATCCTCATCGTTTCTGGGGCGTCGGGAAATTACGATCGACGCTCCACGATGGAAGGAAGTCAGCTGTATGTTGAGGGGCTGAAAGCGCGATTGGGTGACATCGACACTGTTCGCTTAGCGACGGTGACGCATGTCACGGTCCCAAAGGTCTCTGTGGACCTCGGAGTCAAGTTTCTTGACCTTGATAGCGTGAAACGCTGTCTAATCTTAGACTTGGATGCAAGGTATGACCTCATCCTAGGAATGGCATGGTTGAAACACCATGAGCCATGGATTGATTGGAGGTCAAAGACCTTGGGCGCTACGCGCGCGTCTCCTGGTGGAGCTTTGGCGAGTCATGAACTCACCTCTGCAAGGAGACAAAAGCGCTATTGGCGAGAGCACCGGACCGAGACGGTCAACGTGCTACACCTTGGAATGTCTGAGTTGGTAGACACCAACGGTGTATCGGACAGTCGTAGTCGCGGGCTGATCGTGGAGTGGCACGTAACCCACTGAGCGTTGCTCAAGTTTCGGAGCAGTCGCTGCATGTCATGCGTGACATGGTCGACCAAGGGTCGAGGCATCGACGTGATACACGTGAAGTGGCACGTAAACCACTGAGTGTTGCTCGAGTATCGAAGCAGTTGCTGCGTGCCATTGGTGGCGTGGTCGGACAGAGTCCGAGGCATCTTGTGTACGGCCCTTCAATTGCGCATGGAGTGGCACGTTATCCACTGGACAAAGACTGCGGGGTTAGCAGCTCTTCGTCGGGTGTTGTAGCTTACATCGGGGCTCCAG